AAGAAATGTAAAATCCTAACCTCCCAAGTGTTACATCAGGCTATGTAAACATGGAAACCATTTGACATTTCTTCAATTATATATGTGCACTGCGGTGAAAAAACGAATATAAGCGATCCTCGCAGCTATGAACACTAATGCACTAGTAGTTGAAATAAGACCTGAAAAAAGAAAATTCAGGCCCGTACGGGATTTAAACCCATGACCTCTGCGGTACCGGTACAGCGCTCTGGTCATTACGTTGGATCCAAATAAATCATCTAAGTGATAATTAACGATTGTAGATAAATGAAAATTATAAATGTGTACTGGGGTCAAGAAACGAATATAAGCGATCCTCACAGCTATGAACGCTACTGAACTAGAAGTTGAAATAAGACCTGAAAGAAAAAAATCCAGGCCCGTACGGGATTTGAACCCATGACCTCTGCGATATCGGTGCAGACATTTAATTGCCAAAAAATCTTGTTCAATTAATTCTGTAAAACAGCGATCACTTTCAAGCTACGTTAAAAGAAAAGTAGTGAGGAAAATGCCATAAATACAAGACATTTTTATTCTAAAGTTTCCGTTTGAATTTTCAAAAAGTTTGCGTCGTGACATATGGCGTGACTACTAAGTCCCGTGACTAGGGATGACGTCATACTTGCGTTCAGTAGTGTCACGGAAGGTTTGCAAACGGCGTAAACGAAATGGCCGTGATGAGAACTTTTCTCTACTTTTTGGCATTTGTTTCACTTGGATCAGGCTTTGAATGTAAATTTAAAGATTCTGAAATGCCAGATTCAGATGAAGATAAACTGCAGGTCCATCTCGTTCCTCACACGCACGACGATGTTGGTTGGTTGAAAACGGTAGACGAGTATTATTACGGAGCTAATAATTCCATTCAACACGCTGGTGTTCAGTACATTTTGGACTCTGTCATTCCCCAGTTAACTGCAGATAGTTCCAAGCGATTTATCTACGTAGAAATCGCGTTTTTCGAGCGCTGGTGGAACGAACAAAATAAAGCTATGAAAAGGGAAGTCAAGAGACTTGTTGCAAACAAACAGTTGGAGTTTATAAACGCTGGTTGGTGTATGAACGACGAAGCAACCACACATTACAATGCGATCATTGATCAAATGACTTATGGACTTAATTTCGTGCAGGAGAAATTTGGATCAGAAGCAAGACCCCGGATAGCTTGGCATATTGATCCATTCGGTCACTCAAACGAACAAGCTTCAATCTTTGCTCAGATGTCATTTGATGGATTTTTTTTGGGCCGCATCGATTACGCCGACAAGGAACTTCGTCTGAAACAGCAGCGAATGGAGCTGGTTTGGAGAGGAAGCGCCAAAAACCTTGAAACGGACTCTGATATTTTTACAGGGGTGCTATATAACAATTATGCTGCACCCCCCGGATTTTGTTACGACCAATCGTGCAAAGATGCTCGGCCAGTACAAGACGACCCAAACCTCTTCGGCTTCAATGTCGATGAAACCGTGGAACGATTTGTGCAAGAAACTTGTGCACAGGCATCACATTACAAAACAAATCACATCATTTTAACTATGGGGGAGGATTTCCAGTACGAAAACGCAAACACTTGGTACAAGAATTTGGATAAACTGATCAAATATGTAAAGCAGGTAAGCGGAAACATGATAAGCATTAGGTCTAATCATTGAGCTTACAATAGTATTTGAACTTCCGGTAGCTTCCCTTACGTTCCATACCTAAGAAATCCTAAGAA